AAGGAGAATTTGGTAGAAAGAGGATCAGACTGGAATGCATCTTTGAGGAAGTCTCAGCAAGCCCAATGGGGAGCTCTGCCACAAACACTGCACATAGAGAAGTCCTATGCTGGCCAGAGATAGCCCTTGTATCACCACTATGCTTATAATTGGCTAGGTGCTTCTAAGGAAATATGTGGCCTTGGCATGAAAGATAAGGCGGATCCTCGCTAGAAGGAAGCTCTGACCAGAGTATTTCCATGGATGCCAGAGTTCTTATTAGATGTATGTATTCCAAGTATCTTCTGCAATAATATGTGGCTTGCCCTTTCACTATCCTAGTGGAGTTTTTAACTTAATTTTAATTAAGTTCAAATTCTTTTCTTTGATAATGTTTTTGTGTAATGTTCAAGAATTCTTTGCCTGTCCCAAGGGTATGAAGGCATTCTCCCACACAAGTTTTATTATTTTCACATTTAGGTCTATGATGAACTATTTAAAATAATATTTGGGGTATGATATGAGGTTGGAGTCAGATTTCATTATTTTCCATATAGATATCAAATTTGTCCCAGCACCAGTTATTGAAAAGACCTCCTTTCTCTCCAAAGAATTGCGGTAGAGACTTATAAACAAGTGACTATATATGTATGGGTCTCTTTCTGGATTTTCTAATTCAGCCCATTGTTCTATTTGTCAATGGATACAAATGGAATTTGTCAATTAAGCCTATTGTTCTAACCTTGTGCCAATACCACACTATCTTAATTTTTGTAGTTTTATAATAAATTTGGATATATGGTAGTATATGTTGTTTTATTCTTCAATGTTTCCTTGCTTATTTTAGGACCTCTGCATTTCTATATACATTTAAGAATTACCTTGTGAATATCCATAAAATATATGCTAGAGTTTCAATTGGGATTCATTAAATCTACAGATTAATTTGGGGAGAACTGGTAACTTACAATATTGAATCTTTCAATCTTTGAACAAGGCATGACTCTGGGGAGGAGCATTATAGGCAGAGGGAAAAGCATGAACAAAGGCAGAAAGACAAAAAATACACATCATTTATAGATACTAGGCACTCTAAACCAGTTCCAAAAAATAAATAAATAAATAAAGCAGTTCCATGAGGTGTAAAGTACAAGACAAGGAGTGCAGAAGATGAGGCTGAAGAAAGGCGGTGGTCATATTATGGAGGAATTTGGATGCCATGTACGAGTCTGGATCCAATGGTAATGAGAGCAACCGATGATTTTAAAGCACAAAAGTGGTATGGTCTGATGTGCATTAATACAGATGACTCAAGCAGCAACAGGTTTGAATGGTTTTTAAAGGGGACAAACGTGTAGATAGACACAATAGTTAGGAAACCATTACAGTAGTTCAGAGATATGAGATATGATGAAGATTTGAACAAGGACAGTGGCAGTCAAAATGGAGAAGGGATGGATTTGTATTTGATTGGTAAAATCAACAGGATATGGTGATTTAATGTTGTGGGGTAGATGGGGGATGATTAGAAAGTCAAAGATGGTTCCCAAGTGTCTAGCTTAGGTCTGGACAGATGATAGTACACAGAATATGGGAGGAAGAGTAACCTGGGAGAGAAGATAGTGGGTGCATACAGTTTGGAATGCCTATGTGTCTCCTGCCAAGTGTCTAGCAGACAACTGGACATATAGGTCTGAGGCCCAGGGAAAGATATGGGCTAGGTATGTGATTCTGGGACAACAGGAAACCAATGAAAATGGGTGAGATCACCCAGGGACTGTGCAAGAGTTGGGAGGTATTATGCATCCCTCCCACACATTTCCATTTAGATTTAAATTTTCTTAGTTATCTTCTTTTTCAGGATAATAGTGCCCATTGATATCTATGGGCTAAAAACCATATCAGAAATACTCTTTATTGGTCTGACATTACATTTGTGACCACAAATCTCAAATGGACATTCAGTACAGCCAGATATACTTTCTAAAGTTCCACTCTCAGACTATGTTTATTATGTTTTCAGTTTTCTTCTCTTCCTCAACCCTTCCATTCACTCTTTGCCCTCTACTCTCAGTTTAACTTTACTTCACTAAAAAAAAAAAAAAGGAAATTTGACTGATTAACTTGTCTTTGCATCATCAAATCCACCATGCTCTCTGTATGTTCTCTGCCCTCCTTCTACTTTTTTTTTTGAGGCAGGGTCTTCCTTTGTTGCCCAGGCTGGAGTGCAGTGGCGTCACTATATCTCACTGCAACCTCAGACTCCTGGGCTCAAGTGATCCTCTTGCCTCAGCCTCTCAAGTAGCTGGGACTACAGGCATTCGCCACCATGCCCAGCTAATTTTTCTATTTTTAGTAGAGATGGGGTCTCGCTCTTATTCAGGCTGGTTTCTAACTCCTGACCTCAAGAGAACCTCCCATCTTGGCCTCCCAAAGTGCTAGGATTACATGTGTGAGACACTGGGCCCAGCCTCTGCCTTCCTTTTAGTTACCACAGAAGCACCCCCATTCCAAACTATGGCCCAGCCCCACCGCCTGTGCTCTGGATTGCAGCCCTTCTCCCTTCCTCACTCAGGTAATTACTCCCTTTCTCTCTACCAATTTCTACTCCACTACTGAGTTAATCCATGTTTACGCATATATGCTTTAACACCAACCTCTGAAGATGAAATAAAACTTCTGTGCCAGAGATTGCTAGTGCTCACTGATATCCATTTTTCTCTCACACAGCTAAATTACATTTCTCAGTCCCTCTGTGGGGATCCTGTGGAAGGCAGACTGTGACCGGAAGGTATTCCACTTTTAGGCCTGACCCATACTCTCTTTTGTGAACCTCTACTCTTTTTCCTTTGCCAAGGTGACTGTGAAGGCTACATATTGGTGCTACGATATGGAAGGCACTCGGGTCAGTGCTGGAGGAAAGCCATCCAACTCACAATGGACTGTGAGTCAAGTGATAAACTTTGTGTTAACCTGTTGGGATTGAGGTTGTGAGTGACAGCCCTTTGCTTTATGCAAATCCACATCCTCCTCCAGCTATTGCCTCATTTGTCTGTTTCCTTTAACACTCTTCAAAGAGTTGTCTACGCTGACTATTTCCATCAGTCTCTTCTCAACCTGCTCCAATTCAGCTTTCATCTTCACCATTCTACCGACATGGTTCTTTTTTTTTTTTTTTCTTTTTTTGAAGACAGTCTTGCTTTGTCACCCAGGCTAGAGTGCTGCTGGTGTTATTGTAACTCACAGCAACCTCAAACTCCTGGCTCAAGTAATTCTCCTGCCTCAACCTCCCAAGTAGCTGGGACCACAGGTGTACGCCACCACACCTGGCGAATTTTTCCTATTTTTAGTCACTCGGCTAATTTTTTTCTATTATTTTTAGTAGAGACGGGGTCTCAATCTTGCACAGGCTGGTCTTGAACTTCTGAGATCAAAGTGATCCTTCCACCTTTGCATCCCACAATGCTAGGATTACAGGCATGAACCACCACACCCGACCTCCAGTTCTTATTATGGTCTCTAATGTCCTCCATCTTGCCAAATTCAAGGTCATTTCTTTATTTTCACCTTTTTCAACCTCTCAGCATCATTTAAAACAGCTGACCACTCCATTGTTTTTGAAACCCTCTCTGGGAGACCACTCTCTCTTGGTTTTCCTCCTACTTCATTGGCAGCTCTTTCTTCTATACCAGTTCTCTACGTCTTGGAGGATCCTAGGGCCTCCCTTATCATCCTCCTAAATCTTTGCTCTTTGTTTAGGTGGTATTATCTTAAACAAGATGATTCTGACTCCCAAGATTTTTTGGGGTTTTTTTTGAGACAGAGTCTCACTCTGTTGCCCTGGCTAGAATGCTGTGGTATCAGCCTAGCTCACAGCAACTTCAAACTGCTGGGCTCAAGCGATCCTCCTGCCTCAGTCTCCCAAGTAGCTGGGACTACAGGCTTGCGCCACCATGCCCGGCTAATTTCTTCTATTTTTGGTAGAGATGGAGTCTCGCTCTTACTCAGGCTGGGCTCGAACTCCTGAGCTCAAATGATCCACCTGCCTACGCTTCCCATAGGGTTACGATTACAGGCGTGAGCCACCGTGATCGGCCCTGACTCCCAAGTCTTTATTTCTAGTTCTGATCTCTCCCTTTAGCTTTAGTTCTGTATATCCAGCTGTCTACTGGGATGTCTAATAGTCATCTGTAACTTCACATGTCTAAAACACAACTTGTGGTTTTCCCTCTCAAACCCCTTGCTCATTACCGAGCCTTCTTCATTACTTGGTTGCTCAGGCCAAAAATGTGGGAGTTATCCCGGATTCATTTTTCCCCCCTCCCACCTGCATCCAATCCATCAGCAAGTCCTTATGACTCTGTCACCCAAATATCTCACTAACTCTGACCTCTTTTCACCATCTCCTCTGATAAAACACTAGTAGTCCAAACCACCAGTACTGCTCATTTAGACTATGGCAGCAGCCTCCCGAATGCTCTGCCTTTTCTCTTGCCCCTAGTTAGTGTATACTGATAGTATAACATATCAGCCAGAGTAAACATCTCAAAATGTAACCATAAATCAAGTATGTGCTTGAAACTCTCCAAGTGCTTTCCATATGCAACTAAAATAAAATCCATCTTTTGTGCTATGGCCTACAAGGTCCTGTTAATACATGATCTTGCCCCTGCTAACCTCTTCAACCTCACTCAGTTCACTCTAGTCCGAATGGCCTCCTTTTAGGCCTCAAAGAAGCTCTTTCCTACATCAAGGACTTGGTGCCTGCTGTTGCTCTCACCAGAATGTTCTTTCACCGAATGTCCCAGTGGATGCCCTTCACATCACTTAGGACTCAGCTCGAATATCACCTCCTCAGAGCATTTCCTCTCCCTCAGTCACTATTTTATTTTTGTTTTGGTGCCTTGACTCAGTCACTTTCTACCCCACTACCTTATTTTCTTTATAACAATAAAGTAATAAAATATTTTATTAGGACACATGAAGACAGATTTTTGTCTTATTAGTTTATGTGCCACTACCTCGAGAAGCAGCTGGCACAGGGTAGATATTTGTTGAATTGAATGAAGAATATCAAAGACTGTAAGCCCTTGAGGAAAAATACCATCCGCTATTCTTCTTTATAATCCCCAACAACTCGCTGCCTATCCGCTGTAATTTTTTTTCCAGTATAAGTCCTAAAAAGAAAAAAAAATCAGAATCACTACTTATGTTTGCTGTTTTTAGTCCATCCATCACATTTTCTTTTAATTTTCCTCTTTATTTCCCCTAAATAAGATTATCCTGAACGAGTAAAATATTTTCACTTTTCATGATGAGCTGAATCTTTGAAAAAAAGGTTCAACTAATTTAAAAAGTAATGAAAGAGTTACAGAAAAAGCTTTTAAAAACATAACAGAAATCCATAGGTTGGTCATGAGACAAAAGCAGCCCTGGAAATAAATATAAACACGCCATAGTATTAGTGGGGAGATTTAAATGAGTCTTTGAAAAATGAAAAATTAATTAGTTCAAAATTCTGTAGTTGCACTAAATCTCAAAAGATGTAGCTTGTGATTTCACAAATTGGAGTGATTTTAAGACTAGTCTGGGGTTCTGCAACGAGAGCTGCTTCTGCTAGGTCCAGAAGTCCTCAGTAAATAAACACTATTATTCCCTATTAAGTTCAAGGATTACCTGAAACCAATCTGTTTTTGGAGGTGTAACAAAAACAAACAGGTGCAAAATATTTCCTATTCCTATTTGTTCCTCATCCTCCTAATGGATTCTTTAACATCTGTGTTCAGTTCACCTTTACAGCTCTGACATTTGGGACTGTAGGGTAAATACAAATCTAAAAAAAACTAAATTGGAAAATTTTCCAGGTGCCACGAAAGACAAAGAACATTACTCTTTTTCATTTAGCAATAGCCTTAGAAAAACTGAAATTGTAAATGCTTTCTCTGTCTCTTTGAAATGTCTGTATACCTTTGAAAAAGCTAAATAAGCCTTGCCAGTTTTGCACCCTCAAGAGGTCTTTCTTGAGAGCCTTGAAGCCATCTCTTTGAAATGTGAACATCAAGGAGGATGGTTCCCCATCTCCCAGTCTCTATGTTTAAGCCTTGGCTCCAAGATGTAACTTCCCATTATTTTTCCTTTGGATAAAGACAATTAACAGGTATGTAATGCCTGGTTATATGAAATGGTGAGATTTCTTTTTTGTCTTTGCAATCTCTCTAGTGGATTGCCTGTGATGTGCAACATAGTATGGTTTAATGCATATCCAATAATAAAACTCTTTCATTATTTTGTACATTGTGCATTTTGTGGAAAGGATATTTTGGGGTTGGCAGGATATTTTATTTTTTAATCATTTCTTCAACTGGCTCCTTCAGTTTGGAACATCTGTATGGTAGTGTGATTCCCCATTCCCCCTCCATACTTATTTTATGCAGTAAGGGATAGAGGAAAGAGCACAGAGTTTGGCGTCACACAACCCTGGCTTTTCCTTTTACCAGCATTCTGAAGTTCTGTACAGTAACTTCTCTGAACCCCAATTACTCTGTCTATAAAATGATAATACTACGTCATAGATAAAGTAAATTAACTATCTGACACTTGGCAGGTGCTAAGCAAATGAAGGAAATAAAACTATACCAGAGAGTTTAACGCACTAAAAGGTTCGTGCATTCCCCCTCTGCGCTTCCCTATCTGTGAAATCTCAGGACACAGTATCCACTTCGCTAAACCTGAGCACACTGCTTACTGATAAGGCAACGAACGCGCGGCTCCGACCTTTTGAGTTTAAAAGGCTTTAGTAGGTAAAATACGCAGTTAACAGAGCCCTCGCAATTTAGACAGAAAGAGGGAAAATCAGACGGGGGGGGGGTCCCCGTATGCAAATATAGGAATTACAAATGAACACAGGCACAGCCGCTACCGCACTCCCCCCTCCTCCTCCCCCTTCCCCCCCCCCCCCCCCAGGGCTCCAGTGCCCGCCGGCGCGGGGGTGGAGATTTGCATGTGCGAAATAGGGAAGAGGGGGAACCACCTATCGAAAACCCCGGCCGTCCTCCCCCCGAGCCCCAAGGGTCGGCCCCTCTGCCGCCCGGCCCGCCCCGCCCGAATGAGCCCGGGTGACCCGCCCTCCCGACGTCACCACACCCGCCCCCCCGCTCCTGAACTTTAAACCACACTCGGAAGAACAACCTGGAGGAGGGGGATTTCTCGGGGGCCGGCGGCCTTCACACGCTCCGAGCCGCCATTTCTCAGCTCCAGCCGAGCCCTGCGGTCCTGAAGACCCCTCGCTCCCGAAGACCCCGCGCTCCCGCGCAGCAGACACCCTACACCCAGCCGCGGCGACCGCGGGGGCGCACGCGCGGGGGCGGGGCGGGCGGCTGGCCCCGGGGCGGACGCGCGCGCGCCGCCCGGAGGACGCCCCGCCCCCCGCCCCCGGGGGGAAGGCGGTGGCGCAGGGCGACGTCAGCGGCGGGAAATCCCCTCCCGCGCGGCTGCCTGCCTCTCTGCTCCGCCGGCGCTGCGCTCTCGCCCGCTCCGCCCCCTGTCCCTGCCCTGGCTCCCGCACCCTGGAAGGGCAGCGCCGGGCGGCCCGGAGCGCGAGAATTCAGGGGGTGGGAAGGTGTGAGCCGCAAGCCCAGAGGAGGGCGGGAAGAGGAGGAGGCGCCGGGGGTGGTCAGGGGCACTGGGGGTCCCTCCGGCAGAGGTCCCTAGGTCTCCTGACTGACTGGCTGCGGCCACCTGCGGCCCGGACGCTTGGAGCTGCCTGCGGGACGGCGCGAGGAGCGGAGCCATGGCCTCGGGTGAGTGTTCCGGGCGCTGAGGTGCGGCCCGGCCTGCCCCGCCGGGAAGGGGCTTCTTTGGGCGGCTCGCTTTTGGCTGTGGCGCATTTTTGTCTTTGAAATCACCGCTTCTGGCAAATTGTCAGCTTTTTAAAAAGTTACCTGCTTCAGGGTTTGCGTGCGAAATCAAAGCCACTCTGTAATTTGATCCTTTCATAATAGCCAGAACCTTAGAAATTCCCAACGACTTGATTTTAGGATTAGGGAAGTAATAATCTAAATAAAGGAGGACGAGGACCTCTCATATTTGAAAAGTGATTTATGTTGAAATGGTGGCTTTATGTTTTAGAACAAGAATGAGGAACTTCAGACCTCAGTCGAGCTCTATCTACCCTTTTTTAGTTTAATTTCATCAAAGTGCCAAGAGGTGATCGCTCTTGTGCTGACAGTTGAACAAAATGTGGCGCGGCTTTAAAAGTCATCAATGGTGTTTTAACAGATCTTAAGTGGAACTGCTGCTTCCGCAAAGTGGGTAGCTTTTACAGCGAAATAAAAATAAAGCACAGACTTCCTAGTTTACCGAATAGAGACGCGTCGATTTTTTTTTCAGGGGGAAAAGAGGATTTTTTAGAATATCTGTGCCTTAAAATAGTGGATAGAAATGAAGACAACTTTATCGCTTATGCAGATGGCTTACTTTCTGTTAATAAATGCTCAGATCTCTTGCTTTGGGAGAAATAAATTGTTAAGAAACAGCTTACAGGGCAAGGTAGAGAGTCCCATGTACACAGCCATGGTTAAGGGCTGCCTGTAGCCTAGGCAGGTAAATCAAGTAGACTGGGTTCCAGTTGGACCTTAACCAGGATTTTGGCAGGGTGGATGCTCGGCGCTTTCCAGACTGGGAGCTGCGCGAGCCAAGGCGGGGAGGGCTAAGAGTGTCTGTTAAATGCTCTACTGGGAGGCTGAAGCGGGGAGCTTGCTTATTATTGACCCGCATCTTCCCAACTGCCTGGTTCAGTGACGCTTGGTCGAAGACTGATGTCTAGTAGGGAAGAGGAAGTAGAAGACAGAAAGAACCTCTTTAAAGGGTTGAACAGAACAATGCCGTAGCTACTGCTGTAGGCTGGAAAGGAAATTGGGGTGTTTCACATGACATTTGATTTCAGTTTGTCTGTGGTTTTCATGTGAGAATACAAGTGTAGTTTAAAATATTTCAACTTTCCCTTTACCCACTTAAGTGACCCCGAACTTTCAGATAATCTTGTAAATTTATAAATTCAAAGCATGTTTAGATTAAAAGTACAAAGATGACTTCAAATATTAATATTTGGTTAATTTATTGGTTATCAGAAGGAGATTTTGTATGAAAGTAGTGAAGAATGGCTAGCATTATAAGTAAAAAAAGGTCAGCCTCTTGGTTATTTGTTTATTTATTTTTTCAAGTTCTCAGACACCATTTACAGCTCTTGGCCATTTAATCAAACTTTATTAATATAGTGCATGAATGTAATACTTATGATTTTTTTCAAAAAAGAGAGACAACTAACTATTTCTATTCAGAGTATTGTAAGATCTATATGATTTTTAAATGTGGTACAATTTAAACTTGTTTAATGATACTATATTTATATTGTTGTTAAGACCAAGGATTCCCTAAGTAAAAGGGGGAAAAGTTTAAAGGAATGGAAAGTTTAAAGGTTTGGAGTTGTAGGATGATTACCTTTTGGTTTTTGTTTTGGGTCTTTTCTGAAGAGTTGCATTAAAATGGGACGAAACAAGTTGTTTAAATTATAATTCAGTAGTTTGAAAACTGTTAGGCAATTTTCCGTGTGTACCTTCCTTAATCAATGATAAAGACCTTAGAGAAAGATTCACTAAAGAAGTTATAAATTCCCATTCTGTTTTGCAACAGTAATTTAACTGAAGGAGTGACCAAAAAACTTGTTTGATTAGTTTATCATTGTCTAGTTTAGATTGTAGTAAAGTAGTATTAAAACCTCAAAAAGTATTTTTATTGATTACCAAGCATTTAAGACCGTTTTTTTTCATTTCTCACCGGATGTTGTATGTAAATAGGCATGTGTAGTTAAATATGTGATAGCTAGAATGTAAAAGTAACATAGATCATAATCTTATAAGCAAAATTATGTAAGTGCCATGAATAGCTGGGACTTTATATTTTGTTTAGGTAAATTGTCCGATTAATAATTTAGGATTTCACAGTTTGTATCAAGCTGCTTTTCATTACCTTTTTAAAAAAATTACACCTTAATTTCAGTCTTTTGACATGAAAAATTCGAATAGGCATAGTGAAGAAAAATGTTCCCAAACCTGTGTAAGTTATTCATAGTTAGCTAATCATTACTCTTGTATATTTTGTTTAATATATTCTATTTTGTTTAATATAAGTAAAATTAAGTATTTTATGTCTGAATTTCAAGCTGCTTATTGTTTCAGTAAAAAGAGCAAAATGTCATGTGTGCCACATAACTGTTTACTAGTAACTAGTACTGTCTTTGGTAAAATATGTTTTAAAATTTAGATAATTTATTTTTATTCATATTTTTCTTTAACATGGTTCTGCTATGTCACATAATAAGAATTATGCAAAGAAATTGCTTTTGTAAAGCGCACTACTTACCAGCTTTTTCTATTGTGAATTTCAAGAGGATTTTTCTTTTCTCTTGAATAAGGGGGGAAAATGACGTGAGTATAATGCATCTTAATCTTTAATAACAGCTGGAAGTTAGGAATGGATAGCTAAAGAAAACTTTTTTAAGTAGAAGACTGCACACACAAATATGAATGTTGTTTTAGAAATGCAACACATGAAAAAGTGGAGAGAACAGTGGTATAAAAGAATTAAGGTGATACATGGTAGACAGAGTAAAGGGAACGAGTGAATGTCATGACTAAGGAGGAGTAAGATAACAAGAGGTGTGTGCAGTATCTTTCTCAAATACAATTTAAGGGACTCAGAATTTCCTTTTGTTCTTTCTCTCATCTGTGTTCTCTGCAGATGATTGTGTTTGTAGGCACATGACCCAAATATTGCACAGGATATACTTATACTAAAAAAATTATTTATCTGAAATTCATGTGTATCTGGGCTTCCCATATATTTATATTTAAATCTGGCAGTTAATCAACAGTGGTGATTGGGTCCTGCCATCTGTTTTTAATTTAAATATCTATATAATCTAGGGAGGATTTAAAAATTTCTCTACTTTTTCACCCTGTCAGATAAAAAAGTTTTTTTAAGACTTAATTTTTTTCCTCCATTGTAGTGGAATGCCTCTATTGCCAAAATCTTTTACATTTTTAAATTTACCTTGTGGTGCATACATCAGTTGAATACTTGTCTGAAAATTCCCTTACTTGGATTCATAAAGCCAACTTGAAAGTCAACCTGATAGATTGGAATAAATCTGGACTTTAGTCCATGATAGACCTAGTTTGAGGGAAAAAGAATGGATCTTACTTTCTTTTTCTCCAAGTTGAGTAGAGGTGATATTTGGAAAAGTATATATTGTTAGATTTATTTGCTCCTTTTGGGTCTCTGGCAGTCTGTTACACATCTCTCTGTGAGAGATGTATTCTAGTCAGCTCTTCTCAACTGTGGCGTGTGCTGTATTACAAGAAATATGTTACTGACAATGGTTAAAATATTTGTTTTGCACGTGATTTGCTTTTTAAATAAATTAAAGCAATTGAAGGCTGTCCATGTAATGTCTTTCCTTGCTTGCATTTGAATAAGCTTTTTTGAGTAGGAGAGCAAAAGAAATTACAAGTAGCCAGAATTGGTTTGTCTAGTTTATCCATGACTCAGTCCATACTTGCAATTGAATTTTTGAATTGCTTCTCTGGATATGCTCATTGTTGTTTCCACTTTTTGTTTTAGGGCAGTGGTTCTTAATTAGGAGTGTATTAGAATTGTTTGGAAGGCTTTTCAGAAACATGCATCTGGGTTTTACCCTTGATGATTTCTATTTCTCTTCAGATCTCAGGTGGGGTCAGGGCATGTATATTTTGAAAAAGCTACCTAGGTGATTCTGATGTACACCCCTAGTATGAACTCTGTTCTAGAGATTTCATCGGATCTAAATTCTCACTTGGCTATACCAAGATGCATTATCTTCTTAAAGTAGGTTGCATTTATTTTAGATTGCAGCTTATGTGCTCTATCAGTTATTGTGACTTTACCTCCATGCTTTCATGCTTTCTGTTTTTCAAATTTGGCTCTTTGATCCCAGCTGTAATATTAGCTAATATCATTCATAATTTCTTTTTCTTATAACTTCATATAATTTGGAACTTTAATCTTATGTAAAATGGAATAATTTCTGTTCGTTTTTTTAATGGAGATTAAAGTTAAGAGGATCAAATGAGAAATGTATATAAAGGTGCTTTAAAATATTACAATAATTAAAATTTTTCACACTGTACGCTTTATGCTGGTTCCTAATTCTAGCAATAAGATTTTAGTTATTAATGCATCTATTTCTGACCATTTCTGATCCATTTCTAACTTTTATTTCAATGTAATTTATTTTTTTAACCTTAAAAACCTATACTTTATTAGATAGTCACGATGTTTTAAAATAGCACTCTTTTTTGCCTAAGTACAAATAAAAACATAAATATATCTTGCAGATATTTTGGCTGTATTTCAAATGTTATTCTAATCTGTATTAGCATTTTATAATATTGTTCAAGATACAGAAGTCAATCCCAGCTTGCATAGTATTGGTTAAAGAAAAATACAGTAATCAACTTGTTTAGAGCCAATTTTGAAGACATTTCAATGCTTTTCAAAACTGTAGTGATTTGTGGTAATCTTAATTAGGGAGTACTCATTTTCTGGTTCCCTGATTTATATTTTACCCTCTTCCACTTCATAGATGACTACGTTTCAGCACTTTTTATCTTCAGGAAGAATGGCATTATAAAACACCGTACTGAGGAAGGAAGTAGCTAGTGCCTTATACTGATATTTATAACTGAGAAGTTTTTTAAAATCATAAATGCAGATAACCAGAATGTGAATGGGTTTGAGAAAGTATGAAGGTGTAGCAATTCTAGTACCTATAAGGCACTATTTTTTTTCTTAGTAGTGGAATCAAATAAAGAAAATCTGATTAATCATTAATATAGTTCTTTAATGTTTGAATAACTTGCATAAACAAAAGCTCTTAAGAGTTTTAGTCATTCAACAAAAATTTATTGACTGTCTATGTACAAGGCACTGATGAGTAAGACACAATTTCTGCCTTTAAGTAGCTTGAAGAAATAAAACAAGTAGCTTTAAGAAGAAAAATGTCTTCCCCAAATTATGGTTATTTATAATAATTGCTATAAAGAAAATATTATAGGTAGTTTACAGGACTGCTTACTATGAACCTAGCATTTTTATTCCCACACCTCACCCCCCAAGTGATAAAGTTAACCACTTAACATTACTGATGTCATTCTGTATCAATTTCCCACCAAGACACCTTTAAATAAATAGTGGGCAGGGATTAGTTCAACCACACAAATTATTTAAGACGTCACTTAAAAAATACTGTTGATTTTTAATAGCTATTGAGAGGACACTGTACTTTTTCATAAATATTCAGATAAGCATATATGAAGATGTGAAATATTTGAAACTGAAATGTGAATTTGAAATATATAAGGATATAGAAATTGTGAAATACTCATCTATATGCCTTATGTTTTTCAGTAAAATTAAAGTAAGTACTATGAACTTGATTGGGTTAAAGTCAGTTTTCCCTGGCTCTTTTGTCTGTTGAATAAGGAAATAGGTAGTAGATTCAAACATAAGGAGTCTGAACTAAACAGAATAAAATTAAAGGTAACAGTAATACTTTACTCAGTAACCCAGAGTAAAAACCATGGAGATGTCAAAGATTCTTTAATTTCTGAGCCATCAATGATTCTTTAATTTCTCTTCACTCTAATGTTCAGGCACCAAGTACTGTCACTTTTATCTTTTAAATAATACTTCATTCCCATCATCACTGCCATGTGTCAGATAAACACTCATCATTGCTCACATTATTATAGTAGTATCTAAACTGATCACTTTGCTTTCCCTTTTCTCTTCAATCTGTTTACTTCAACAAGAATTCTTACTCAAAAATGCCAGTCTGATCATGTGATTTCCCTGCATGAAAACATTCATTGATTTCATCATACCTAACAAGGAAATCCACATTGCCAAACATGCTTTGATTTTTTGGTTCTCTAAGAGTGGAAATGTATTTGGTTTACATTGATGATTCTTAAATAAACCTTTCTGTGGACACACTGTTCCATTTTTCCCTAGAATACCTACCTCTCTTCCTTCTTCCTCATCTCTCTTCCCATTCTTTTGCTTCATTAATTCTTTTTCCCGCCTCTGACACAGGCCTTCCTAACTCTTTTGCTGTTATCATTTTCTGCAGAATTTTGTTAGTGCTTTCCTCCCTTCTGTAATCTGATGATTTGTATTGTTTGTGTCACTGTTCTGTGAGGTCCTTTAGCATAGCAGTTGTGATGCCATCATGGTATCACTAAATCATTGTTTACAAGAAAATATCTGAAATAATAATAGAGACCATTTATTATCTGTAGGTGTAACACTTAGTAAGAATTTAGCACATGTAATCTCTAATCCTCACAGCATCCCTGTGCAGTAGAGGGCATTATTATTATTCCCATTTTACAGAGGAGGAGACTAAGAGATTTTGTTTATATAGAGAGAGAAAGAGGGAAAGAGACAGACAGAAACAGGGTCTTGATATGTTGCCCAGGCTGATCTTGAACTCCTGGCCTCAAATGATCTCCCTACTTCAGCCTCCCAAAGTGCTAGGATTACAGGTGTGAGCCACTGCATCTAGCCTAAGAGATTTTAATAACATTTCCACAGTTTTACTGTTAAAAGTGACTGAGTGGGATTCTAACAGCTTCTTTCCATACTGCTCTGATAAGCAGTGTTGCCCTGTGTTGCCCTTTCCGAATATTGCTTACATTCTAACAGGATAAGCCTTAGTCAGTGAAATAGATATATAATTGTGGGAATTGAGAAATCACTAGACTGATTGAGGGAGGCTTTTTTTGTTTAATGGAATACATCTTTACTCCTCTAAAATAAAAACACTTTGTTAACTACCTTACTTGTAAGTGTAGTTGAGTGTCTTTATTGAACTTTTGTTTCTACGATTTGGATAATAAAAGAGGATAAAGATACATATGGTTTAAATGGGTTTATTGACATATAATTAATGTACAACAAATTGTACATGTTTAAAGTATGCAATTTGATAAGTTTTGACATATGTATACAACCTTGGAATTATCACCATAGTCAAGATCATTAACATATCTATCATTCCCCCAAACTTTCCCATCCACCCTACATCCCTATTCTTCAGCAACCAAAAATGCTTTCTTTCATTATAGATTAGTTTACACATTCTAGAGTGTCATGTAAGTGGAATCATACAGCATATGTTCTTTTGGTCTGACATTTTTCATTCAAGCATAATAATTTTGAGAGTCATCTGTGTTGTTTTATGTGTCAGTAGTTCATTCTGAGGGTACATATCTTGAATTATATTAATAGAAAGTAAATAATCATTTTTTCCCCTATCGTGTCTTATACTTTAGAAAAGGTTTATATAGGACTGATTGGAAATACTGCTGAACCTAAAGTCCCTTCTGGGGCTTGTTTTGATATACTATGTATGTCTTTTAATAATCTAAATGCATTTTTATTTTCAGTGACTAGTCTTTTCATTCACTATTAAGAGTCTACTGTAAGGCTGGGCGCGGTGGCTCACGCCTATAATCCTAGCACTCTGGGAGGCCGATGCGGGCAGATTGCTCGAGGTCAGGAGTTCGAGGCCAGCCTGAGCAAGAGCAAGACCCCGTCTCTACTATAAATAGAAAGAAATTAATTGGCCAACTAATATATATATAAAAAAATTAGCCGGGCATAGTGGCGCATGCCTGTAGTCCCAGCTACTTGGGAGGCTGAGGCAGCAGGATTGCTTGAGCCCAGGAGTTTGAGGTTGCTGTGAGCTGGGCTGACGCCATGGCACTCACTCTAGCCTGTGCAACAAAGCGAGATTCCGTCTCATAAAAAAAAAAAAAAAAAAAGAGTCTAATGTAAAATCAAGTGGTTAAATACATTTTACTCACTTTGAGGGCATAGTATTGTATTTCCAAATACCTCTTCACACTTCTGGGGAAATCTTGAGGGAAACCCTTCTGCTTGGTCTCGTGGGAAGTGGATGTCTCTGAAGTGGTTATGGCAGAACTTCATACTGGCATTAGCTATAAACATTAAGCGATAAAGTGCTATCTGTCAATATGATTTAAATGACTTCTGTTAACACCACATAGGAACTCAATTTGAATGGGGAAAAAAAGGTGTTTCTCCCATTAAATCTCCCAGGTTGCATTTCAACCTTGTTATTTAATGTTGGGAGGAAAAAATCTTTATTTTAGTCAGCTGTTATGAAAAAACAAAATGGTTAAAATCCATTGTTATTGCTATACTAATCTCACTGCCTCCTTTTTAAAAAATTTTCAGGTGGATATAACCCATATATAGAGATAACTGAGCAACCCAGGCAGAGGGGAATGCGTTTTAGATACAAATGCGAAGGGCGGTCAGCAGGCAGCATTCCCGGGGAGCACAGCACAGACAACAGCCGAACATACCCATCTATCCAGGTAATAGACCTTTCTCCTGTGTTTGTCTCTTAGTTGCTCATATTTTAGCTATAGCAATTGTGTTAAAGGACCAGTTTCTTCACAGTCGTCTCCACAATCTTGTCTTTTTCTTTTTCCCCTTTTTTCTTCTTTATTGATCTGTGTTAGATAGGTATCTAAGGACATTTCTTAAGTATAATATGGGATCTTCCCCACTGCAGATAGTTATATTTGTATATTAATCTAAGTAGAGTGATTCATAGTGCTTAGTGTACACTGGGAGCTTTTAGATCATGTTCCCTTTCTTGGAACGCAAAGCTAATGAGGAAAAAGAATTCTCTCCTTGTAGAGGTGAGTGATATTATTCTATAGGTTAAAGATTTGAGAACTCAATCAGAATTCTTCCTGTAATCCCTTGGCTAGTCTAGGGGCTATGGAAAAGGAGAAGAACATTTTTTTTTCTTTTTCTTTACCTTTATTTCCTGTCTCTGATACTCTGGGTCAATGATTTGAAATATTATCACATTTAAAATCTAGTTTTTTCATACTAGGATAAAGTTTGAAAGGTTGATGATAAAAATGACTTTGATAAATATACTATATAGTTATAAGATATACTATTATATTTTATATTTATAAACTATTGTTCATTTGACTTTTAATGAATGTTTTTATGCTTTAAATGCCAATTACAGGCCGGGTACTGTGGCTCATGCCTATAATCCTAGCACTCTGGGAGGCTGAGGTGGGAGGATTGTTTGAGCTCAGGAATTCGAGACCAGCCTGAGCAAGAGCGGGATCTTGTCTCTATCAAAAATAGAAAAAGTTAGCCAGATGGTGACACGTTCCTGTAGTCTAAGCTACATGGGAGGCTGAGGCAGGAGGATCGCTTGAGCCCGGAGGATCCCTTGAGCCCAGGAGTTTGAGGTTGTAGTGAGCTATGATGATGCTACTGCACTTCAGCCTGGGCAACAGAGCAAGATACTGTCTAAAAAAAAAAAAATGCCAATCACAAATATTAATGACAAAGTGGATTTTGAAAAGTATTACTTAATCTTTTATCAACAGATCTTAATTCACTGTTTTATAAATAGATTATTTACAGAGTTTATTCTGTAGAGCTGAAAGGGAATCGCTAAATTATAGAATAAGCCAGTGGCAAAATTATGTGTTGAATTCCAAATTCCTGTTTTTAATCACATTTTGGTAGCGATATGGATTTGAGTTATCAAAGTCCTTTTATTTAAATGTTAAATTGGGTGAGATACTAATAAAAAATAAATAAGGAAATACTATTCTTCCAATTTTTTGAGTGATTTTTAACTCTTTTTCATAGCTCAACTTATTCTGTGCATCAATAAAATACTTCTAAGATCTGTATCCTTACCATTCCAAAGGTCTTAAACACTTTATAGCTTGAGTTCTATACCAGCCTATCTTATAATCTTGAGTGGTTACCTTCTCTTTCATCCAGAAAGGCAATAAATACTTCCTGGTTACTGTTCAAATTATGTTTAAATTCAAAATTACGGATTTTAGTGCCTTCTACCTGGTAAGCCACCTATTCTCACTTAACTACCTTGCTTCCTTGTAGTATGCTGGCTTTTATATTCTCTGCTTTGTTCTTGCGGCTTTCAAACTAAGTATTACTTCCTCATATCAGAGTGTCCTCTTTTCTCTCCCATGCTAAACTCTCCTTTTTACTCTCAGTGTTCTAGATGTACTTTCTGTGTGATGTTTAATCTTGTTAAACTCAACATGAGTTATTGCCTATGGTATGGTGAACACTTGGGACATACTAATTAACAAATATTTTTGTGAAATGAAATGTCACATACTAAATAAAATGATCTTGTTTGTGTACTATCATTTTTCAATATGGTTTAAATGTACATTCAAAGGATATGTGTGGTATGACAGTGCCTGAAGAGCAGGGCGTTCAGTGACTTAACATCTAAGTATTTCTTCATACTCTGTTGTAAAATTTGGGTATAATTTTACTTGTTTTAAAAGGAAGATAAGCACAGTCAGATATGACCTGTTGAAAGTAGAGCAGAAAATAATGTCAAGGAACTGAGAGATAAATTCTTCTCTGCTAGTATCCTCTGGAAAGTTCCATCTGAACTGTAGCTGCTGTCAGTTGAACTTTATTAGCCAGTGCTAATTACATTATATAAATTGAACTCATTTAATAGATCAATTCATAATAGATTATATTTGTGGATCATACATTTAATTTCCCCATTTTTTCAGATTATGAACTATTATGGAAAAGGAAAAGTGAGAATTACATTAGTAACAAAGAATGACCCATATAAACCTCATCCTCACGATTTAGTTGGAAAAGACTGCAGAGATGGCTACTATGAAGCAGAATTTGTACAAGAACGCAGACCTTTGTTGTAAGTACACAGTCACAGACATCTTCAGGAATAGAATAAGCATAGGATACTCTGTTTCCTATTTATGATCATCCGTTACTTTTTAGCAGAATAAAATTGTGTACATTTAAATTTTCTTACTATTTGCATTAGAACTACCCTTTCATTCTTCGTTAGTAGACACAGCTTATGATGCTAAGCAGGAATATTTCTTTATCGTTACTAAAAGTAAACATAAACTTATTTTATGCTGTGATTTTCTTAGTGTGAACAATTTATAAAATAAATTTTTACTCTATCTTTTCATTTATAGTTAGAAGTTGCTAGATGTGAGAAAATCAACTGGAAAACTGTACAATTATTGTTTTGAGAGGTGCAGGTTATAAAAGTAACATATAACAAAAGTTCCAGGATAAAGAAAATTATGTAATACTTTATGTTAGTGAGGTTACTAGAAGATGAGCCTATTCATCATGTTAGTGAGAGTATAAATTAATAAAATCTTTCTGGTAGGCAGTTAACAATTACATACCAAAGGCCTGAAAAATATGAATGCCTCTTGAGCCAGCAATTCCACTTTTAGGAATTTATCCTCAGGAAATAATTAAACATGTTCAGACATTTAGCTATAAGGCTGTTGATTGCAGCTCTATTTGAAATGGCAGAAAGTGAGAAGCACTCCAAATAGTAAACACAGGGGAATAGTTAAATAAACTGATACATCCATGCAATGTACTGCTATATTGCCTTAAAAATAACATTGCAAATATGTCTACTGATATAAAAAGATATTCACAATGTGTTAGATAAATGAAATAAATCTTATTTATTTAAAGAGAATATGTGAAGAGTAATCTTATTTTTGTTTAAAATAAATTTATACATGTACATGGTAGTATATATACTAAGACATTAATATTAGTTGTCTCTAAATGGGTAGGATTGTGGGGTTTTATGTTTTCCTTTTAACATAATTATTTTATAATTCATTTTGTAATGAACATGTATAAATGTGCTGTTTTGGGGGGGAAAATTAAACTAATTGCAACAGAAAAAGGTTAGTAGTCTCCTTATATGTTGGTAATAAGCATTCAGAAAAGTTTCTTTAAAAATGTTCCTCTCACAATAACAACACAAAATATAAAATATAAAATATCTAGTAATACACATTTGGCAAATATTTTCTGTCTATATCACTTGATCTCCCAACAGCATTTTACACTGTTGACCACTCCATACTTCAAACATTCTCATTCCTTGATTTCTGTGAGAACAAACTTCTGTTTACTTCCTACTTTTCTGGCTTCTCCTTCTTTCTTATTAATAGTTAATAGGCAATTTAATTTTGGGACAACCTCAATTATTATCCCAATAATTCCCTTTATAGTTGTTCCACCTCTCCCCCCAATCTAGGATCCCATTAAGAATCACACATTATATTTAGTATTATAATTAACATGAATAACCTGAGTATTCATGTTAACATGAAAAATTCAGAGCAAGAAATTTACAGAGGTAATACTGTATCACTCTCAAAATATTCCTTCAGTAGACATGTGATATCAGTTTTTTCCATTCTAGTGATATTAATTGGCATTCTATTATAAAGAAGAACTTTCCCTTCTTCCCCTTCTGCATTTAAAAAGTATCACTGTAAACTCATGGGCATGGTGGCTCACGCCTGTAATCCTAGCACTCTGGGAGGCCTAGGCGGGAGGATCGCTCAAGGTCAGGAGTTCGAAACCAGCCTGAGCAAGAGCAAGACCCCATCTCTACTAAAAATAGAAAGAAATTAATTGGACAACTAAAAATATATAGAAAATAAAATCAGCCGGGCATGGTGGCACATGCCTGTAGTCCAGCTCCATGGGAGGCTAAGGCAGAAGGATTGCTTGAGCACAGGAGTTTGAGGTTGCTGTGAGCCAGGCTGACGCACTCACGGCACTCACTCTAGCCTGGGCAACAAAGTGAGACTCTGTCTCAAAAAAAAAAAAAAAAAATACAGATTGTCATCTCCCTGCTTGAAACACTTAAGTAAATTTATGTGTCTCTTAGTAAGAACAGCATTCCTTCTATGCCCTATAAGGCCCACATGGCCCACCTGTATTTTTAGCCTTCTGTTATACTGTGCTTCCCTTGATGTCTATACTCCAGTCACAAAAGCCTGCCTTTAGTTTTCTCTGCTCTCAGTACTCTTCTGTAGGGCCCTTTGCATATTCTGTTTCTTTTGCCTAGAAATCTCTTTCTTCTCTATTCATGTTAAGTATCACTTCCTACAGAAAGCCCACCTGCCCTCTTTGAATTTATCAACTCTCTTCCATCATAGGCTCCCATTACATCATGTATATCTCCTAGATAAAACTTGTATGATTTCAGTTTAGCATTTGTGTGTGTGTATTTAATATCTGTCTGCTTCATCTTACCAGTGGTTAGGAAACTTTTTTTGTAAAGGGCTAGATAGTAAATATTTTAGCTTTTGTAGGCCATATGGTCTCTTTTGTCAACTCTGCTGTTATAGCATTAAGCAGCCATAGGCAGTTTGTAAACAAATCATTTTGGCTGTGTTCTAATAATATTTTATTTACAAAAATAGGCAGCATGCTGGATTTGGTCCGTTGGTTACAGTTTGTCAACCCCTGTACTAGACTGTAAGCTCTATAAGGTGAGGGATTGTGAATCCCCATTATTTTCCAGAAATTTTTGGTACATAAACTTGTTGAATGAGAATGAATGAATAATCAATTCAAGTAATCTCTATGATCATTGATTTCCTCATGTCAGAATTTGAAAACTTCTACAGTTCTAATATTCTGTGAATAATTATTCAGATGAAACAAAATCAAGTGGTCTATAAATTTATAAAATAAAGAGTTCTTTAAAATCTTTTGTCAAAGAACCAAACTTAGACTCCTTCAGAGCAATGAATGAAATACGTTTGAGGAAGAAGATTATAGTTGCAGGATTTTAAGAAAAGATTAAGAATTCAAGATTTGTTTTTTAGTTATTGGAGGCAGAGGAAGGAAATGTCAGAGATATTTTAGGTGCTAACAAAATCACAAGTGTGATGCCTGTGAAGAGCGTGAACATGAGACAGCATAAGCATGGAGAGGCAAACAAAGCAGCCTCTGGTTGCAAGTGCCATGTGAAGTTTGAACAAATAGTAATGTTATGATAATTGAGTTTTGCTTCTTTATTCACACCCACTCAGCTTTACTGATGTCATGGTTTTTCCATGTGGGAACAAGTATGACTGGTGGTGGTGGGGGAGTTCCCCCCACCATCATCTATACTACACATATGCAAATTAGTAATATTTGTAGCTATTGAGAACTTTTCCATAAGTGACATTTTGAAACTTGTTAAATATTGTTAGTATTAAACCTCTTTCTAATAAAAAAACACATTTCAATATTTTTTTAATGATGAATGATTTTTATCATATGATATGGCACAAAACATATTCCACTGCTATTAGCAGTGAAATCAGGACTCAAAAATCAAATCTCTGTGGAGCTAGGTAGGCAGCCTAAATGAGTGGAGTGGATCAAGTGTAGGAGGATTAGCAGGCACTGTAGCAAACTAGAGAGCCCTGCATAAATGGGGCTGCAGATGCTCAGCCCCAGTCAGTTTCTCTGCCAACCTGGTGTTGCCAGACCTTTAAAACATTGAAGAGAAGCCAGAAAATCCAGATGTTCATATGCAGTTACCTAATTTTTAAGTGTTGGTAGCCTCTACAGATTTTTTTTTTTAATGTGGGCAACACTCTTATGGGCTCATCAAAACATACTTGTGGGCTTCAACCTGTGGATAGTCTTTTTATGGCTTTTGGTTTATATCATCAAACATACAGATTTTATTGTTTGATTATGAGTTTGGGAGGTGAATTTTAGCTTTTTGGTGTTGCTTTCCTGTTAATCTTTATTTTGGTATATTTGACACAGGCATATTAGTAAGATGTAATTGTAAAATACTGTATGTAAAAATAGTGTAGTATATACTATTTTTCTTTTAACAGTTCTCTTAGACATATAATCCTATTTTTTACCCTCAGATTTATCATAGCAACTGGAAGTGTATTCATTTTTTAGTATCTCTTTTTGACAGCATGACAACTTTTCAGTGTTGAATATATTCTGTAGTATTCCTTGTGGTTAAGTAGAATGCAGTTTTGAAAGTTCTATTTTTCCCTTCTAGTTTTCAAAATTTGGGTATTCGATGTGTAAAGAAAAAGGAAGTAAAAGAAGCTATTATTTCAAGAATAAAGGCAGGAATCAATCCTTTTAATGGTAAATATGTTTAATATAATTATTTCTATTATTTGGATATTGACTTACTGTGTAAATGATTTGTATTTATATCTTGAACTTGTGTTTTAAAAGTTATTTTAAGTTCTGTGTTCACTTTTCTACTTATTGACTTATACTTGTGTCTGAGTAATGAAGTATAGTATTTAAAATCTTTCACATCTGTAGAATAAAAAATTTATGCATACAAAGCTTTCTGGTATCAGCAGAGAGTGTCATTGTTTTCTATAAAAAGACCTCAAAATGTTCTTATTTCTCACTCAATCCTGTCTGATGCTGGAAGCTAAACAGGTTCAGGCCTGGTTAGTACTTGGATGGGAGACTGCCTGGGAATACTGATACTGTAGGCTTTTAAAAAAAATGTTATGATTTCTTTGAATGTAGCCTTCCTAATGCCACTTCCACCAGAGAATATACACTCCCCTTTCTGAATGTTGAATAGGCACTGTGTTTATAAGGTATTGTAGCACATTTAACTCAAGGGCATATTCAGTAGCAAAACTTAATCCCAAGGTGGAAGAAGCATAGAAATAGTAGAAACCATATAAAATATTTCATAGTGTATTTATGTACATGGTTAGATATTTACTGTTTAGTGGATTTTATTGGTGATAGCATTTATTATTAAGCATTTACATTTATTTAAATTTATGAAGCATTTATTATTATTAAGCATTTATATTTTTGGCAGTATCTGGTGTGGCACTTATAAGCACTTTATATTGTTTAAATAGGTAAATGACTACCAAGCTTTATGCTGGCATCCTGTACTTATAGTAGTCTCCCTTCCAAAGTCTTCTGCAGCTACTTAAATATGTGTATGTGAGGAATTGAATGACTATAAAATTTTCGAAGAATAGATTTCTTTGTCATATTTAAGACATCCTTGTATTGCTGGTTTGTGTTTTTCATGGATGTATAAAAATAATTGAAGAGATATGTTGGTAATTAAGGAATATGCTCACAGACAGGTACCGTTTTTCTGAATCATAAGATCAGTATCCCTTTTCTCTAGGTTTTTATCTTTCATACTATTTAGTATAAAGCTAAAAGCAAAAGTCCTCTGGTTCCCTTATAGTTTCACTTACCAGAGGAAACTGCTATTAAATTTGATGTATAGTTTTCTAGAATTTCCTTGGAAATTATGGATACATGGATAGTTATATATAGACATACATTTTTTTTATATAAAGAGAATCATGCTATACTTCCTATACTGCTTTATTTTTTCCACTCGGGAATATATCTTAAACTTCTTTCTATGTCAGTACTTACAAATCTATTTTATTTTTTAACAATATTCTATTGTTTAGGTAGACTAATTTATTTAGTCATCCATATTTAGGTTGTTTAAATTCTATTTTAAAAGTTCCATTGAATATACATTTTGAGCCTTTTTTTTTTTTTTTGAGGCAGAGTCTGACTCTGTTGGCTTGGCTAGAGTGCAGTGGCACCATCATAGCTCACAGCAACCTCAAACTACTGGGCTCAAGCAATCCTCCTGCCTCAGCCTCCCAGTAGCTGGGACTACAGGCACACACCACCATGCCCTGCTAAGTTTTCTATTTTTGTAGAGGTGGAGTCTTACTCTTGCTGAGGCTGGTCTCAAACTGCTGACCTCAAGCAATCCTCCCACCTGGGCCTCCCAGAGTGCTAGGATTACAGGCATGAGCCGCTGTGCCTGGCCTACTTTTAGCTCGTGTGTAATTATTTCCTTAGGACAAATTTTCAGAAGTGGAAAATTTCTGGGCCAAGAGTATGTTCACTTAAAATTTTGATTCATTGCCAAATTAAAATGCCAGGCTTAAATTAAAGAGATCATCCAAGTCTAGATGTACTACATTAGGTCATTAAATATGAAATGTCCTATTTTGAATCAAAAGTTGAGTTTATTATAACTCAAACAAAAAGCAGTGCAGTTAATCAAAGTATGCACCTGAACTATCAACAGTTTTGCCATCTTAATGGTAGCTTGTCTATGCCAGTAGTGAAGACACCTGGAGAGCAAGTGGCGATGAAATCGCAAAAGTGTTTTCCACAGCTTGTTGAGAATTGAATATTTTTCCTTGCAAGAAGTGGTTCAAAGCCTGCAAGAAGTGGTAGTCAGTTGGTGCAAGGTCTGATGAATATGGTGGATGACAGAGAGTTTCCAAGTCCAGCTGCTGTAGTTCGAGCAGCATTGTTTGTGCGACATATGGTTAAGCATTGTCTTGCAAGAGGATTGCCCTGTCTCTGTTGACCAATCTTAGCTGCTTAGTCAGTCACAAGCATCTTCATCATTTCATCCAGTTGGTTGCAGTAGACATCCACTATAATGGATAGACCAGGTTTCATGAAGCTGTAGTAGATAATACCAGCACAGGACCACCAAACTTTCTTTTGATGAATATTTGGCTTTGGACTGTATTTCTACACTTCATCTGGCCAGGCGCGGTGGCTCACGCCTGTAATCCTAGCACTCTGGGAGGCCAAGGCGGGCGGATTGCTCGAGGTCAGGAGTTCAAAACCAGCCTGAGCAAGAGTGAGACCCCGTCTCTACTATAAATAGAAAGAAATTAATTGGCCAACTAATATATACAGAAAAAATTAGCCGGGCATGGTGGCGCATGCCTGTAGTCCCAGCTACTCAGGAGGCTGAGGCAGAAGGATCGCTTGAGTCCAGGAGTTTGAGGTTGCTGTGAGCTAGGCTGACGCTACGGCACTCACTCTAGCCTGGGCAACAAAGTGAGACTCTGTCTCAAAAACAAAAACAAAAAAAAAACACTTCATCTTTATCCAGCCATTGTGCTAAATGCTTAATGATTGTCAAAAAGAATCCATTTTTCATCACACATAACAATATAGTGTACAAATGGTTTGCCTTTACATTGTGACAGCAAATAAAGGCAAGCTTCAAGACAATTTCTCTTCTGACACTCATTTAATTCATGTGGAACCCATCAATCCAGTTTCTTTACCTTGCTGATTTGTTTCAAGTGGTCCAATATTGTTGGAATGGTAACGTCAAACCTTGCTGCTAATTCAGGTTGAGATGGATTTGCTTCCACTACAGCGTTCAACTCATCATTGTCCACATTGGTCTCAGGTCACCCACGTGGCTCATTTTCAAGATTAAAATCACCACAACGTAACATCTCAAACCATCCATGTACTGTGTGTTTATTAGCCACATCCTTCCCAAGCACTTCATTGATATTTCTAGCTTTCTGCGCTGCATTGGTTACACGATGGAACTCATATTTGAAAATAACACTAAGTTTTGACTTATCCATGGTATTGCAAAAATTGCTCTAAAAAAAATGTGAAAGATATTCACAAGCCAAAATGTTTGTTTGAAAGACTGAGGATGTACCTTCACAATAAAAATAAAACAAGTGTCAAAGTGAAATGTCAGAGATATCAACTGTCAAACTTAGTACTTAAGGAAATCAGACATTTCATACTTAACCTAATAAAGACATTATAAATACTACTTCTCGTTTATTAACCACTTCATGTATGTCAGGGAATAAATGTTAAGTGCTTTATGTACACTATTTTAATTAAGCATTGAAACAGCACTGTTTCCCTTCCCTTTCCTTTCCCTTTTCTTTTTCCTTTCCTTTCTCTTTCCCTTTCCCTTTCTTTTCTCCTTTCCTTTTTCCTTTCCGTCCTACTCTCTTTCCTGAGCTACAGTGCCGTGGCATCAGCCTGGCTAACAGCACCCTCAAACTCCTGGGCTCAAGCGATCCTCCTGCCTCAGCCTCCTGGGTAGCTGGGACTACAGGCTTGCACCACTGTTCCCAGCTAATTTTTTCTATTTTTAGCTGTTTGACTAATTTCTTTCTATTTATAGTAGAGACGGGGGTCTCCCTCTTGCTCAGGATGGTCTCGTACTCCTGAGCTTAAGCAGTCCTACCGCCTCGACCTCCCAGAGTGCTAGGACTATAGGCATGAGCCACCGTGCCTGGACAGAAACAGTACTGCTTTATAGAAGAGGAAAACCAGAGGTTTTGTTATGTAACTGTCCCAAGTCATGCAGCAAATATAAATGGCAGAGCTGGAATTCAAACCCAGGTTTTCTGACTGCAGTGGTCAAGGCATTAAAAAGGAAGGTGCCATCTATAGAGTTTTTTTGGGGTTTTTTTTGGCAATTCAGAATTAGGCATGATGTTAATAATAAACACTCATACATCACTTAAAACAGTTCCTGTAGATAGTGTTTTACATTTTTTACTTCATTTAATGCTTATAACAACGTATGAGATAGGTACTATTATTTTCTCTATTTTTATAAATAAGAAAATGGAGGCATAAAAATAATTCGCTCAAGGTCCTATAGCTGGTGAGTGGTAAAGCTAGGATTTGAACACTGGCTAGTATTCATCTGGCTCTAAGGTCATGGTCTTAACAACTGTGCTATGTTGCCTAGATGAATGTTGATTTGGAGAAGAAACAATCCTTTCAGTTGATCCTTCACAGTATTAATGCTTTCTGTTGTTTAGTTATTTTTTTTAATATTCTTTCTCTTGGCTATTTTTTTCTCTTTAGAATAATCTTAGAACCATGCTTTAACATATTATTGTGATCAAAAACTTGCAATGGCTTTTTATATAGCTTAAACACTAGCCCCACATTCAAAGGCATTGACTTACAGCTCCAACATATCTTTCCTGTCTTCTCTTTCACTGTTCCTCCTCATGAACTCTTAATTATTCCAGAAAAACTGTTTTGTTCATCCTCCTTGACCGTCTCAGTCAAATCCTCTTCATTCTTCTTACTGCCATTGTAGCAATGTAAGCTTATGTCATTTTGTATTTTAAGCTTGTGTTCCTATCTCTATTTCTTGGTTTCTCTTCAAGCAAGAAAGAATATATACTCTGCATCAAAAAATATATATATATCCTTCTAAAAAATGATCAATATGATCATTTCAGAATTCTGTTTATCTTCCTTCAGGGCTCCAAATCAACTTTAGCAATGGTTCTCAATTTGAACATGCA